CTTATTGGACAAAGCCTTAACATCAACATTAAAATTGTCCTTTTATTAATGTGAAAGGTGTCGCACGGGTTGTTACGACAGACCCATACAATAACTATAACATATTTCGCTAGAAAAACTTCAATACTATATGTCATGTTAGGGTTACGTTTTCGCTAATACCAACATTTCGAAAACTTATTAGTACGCAGATGGTAGTTTTAGATCGATTTTTTTCGCGTTATATCTGATCCTAAAGTTTGTTGGCTCATAAAGTTAATTGTGACCGGCAAGGTTTTGTAGTCGTCTCCCGCTATAGTCACATCATCTGGCAAAAATTTGACGTGACTATGTCGAGAAATACATAAGTAATAGTTACGTCGCGTGATTATAGTGAGTGTTAATTTTATAATCTATAACCATAAATAAGATCTTTGCTAGGAAAATGACCCTCCGAAGCTAGGCTGAGTGTTTAAGTAAAAACATTCAAAACCCTATACAGTCAAACCTCTCTATAATCACACCCTCGGTTTTAAGAATTTGGTGCTTATAGAGAGTTTGTGCCTATATAGGGGGTTAAATTTTATAAGTGCTATATAAGTTGGTTTTAAAAATTTGTGATTATAAGCAATTGTTAGAGAGGTCTGACTGCATTTACCAAAATTTAAACTTTATATCTAACTTCTATTTTAACCTATAACTAAAATAATCAACTCTCGCAATAGTCACACCCACAATAGTAAATTTTTTCAAGCTATATACCAATCATTGATAGTTACTATACAGGAGTTGACCTACCGTAAATTCTCGAAATAGCGGGCATGGGCGTTATTTAGAATTTCGACCCGAACTAGCTTAATTCGGGCCAAAATGTGAAATAACGCCCACGCCCACTATTTTGAGAATTTACAATAATTGGTTTTTATATGTATACATTATTGGGCAGATGACAAAAAATAACAGTCAATTGTTTTTTTTGTCGGAATTAATGTCACTCCATGTACTGCGCAGCAGCACATGAGTGAAATTAACTCCAATGAAAAAAACAATTGACTGTTATTTGTCGTATGTATGTTTAATAATATTGTTATTGGATAGTTAATATGACCATGTGAAGTTTTTTCTGTGATATTTTGCAAAACTGATTATGTAATTTCATGTAAAAAATATCATAGCAAAAAAATTCACATGATCATATGAAATGTCGAATAATGTATACTTAACCAACATATGTTAAATGACCTTCTAAGGTTATTTGAACTTTGAAATGACAAATGACTAGTTATTTGTCATTTGGGTCATTTGGGTCATTTCAGGTCATTTACCATCCCTGGATATGTATAAGTTACTCGGAGCAACGTGACGGGTTACATACTAGTATCACTATCATCTATTTCACATGAAGTTATACAAACAAATAAGCACTATTATTGGTAGATTAAAATAGTTAGCCAATCAAATTTATCATATAACTTCACATGCATAAAAAAAATTGTGATTTATTGTTTTCTAAAAAAAATTGTGATTTATTGTTTTCTAATCTTTTCTAAATTTTTCTAAGTCCCTGCCCTAGGAGTAGTTGTCTAAAGCTATGTACCCACGTGACTTTTTTGTGTAAATCAACCAACCGGAATTGCAAAATTTTATTTACAAAAATAAGAGACGAAAAAATGATTAAAACATCAAAATCACATGGGTATATGACTTTAGCCGATGAAATTTTGATTGGTCAAAATTACTGGGATAAACAATTTATAGAAATTTTTAAGTTTTGGACTAAATTTTTGATCATTGCCATTGGCCAATCAAAATCATGAATTTTTGCGTATTTTTTGTATTTAATAACGCATATACTATGATCATTTTTTTCAATTTTGATTTGATATTGATATGAAAGTTAACGTTAAATCAAAGAAACATAATTTAAGGAATCGTATTGTATTTTCAGAAATTTCAACCAATACCTACTCCAACGGTTGCTAAATCATTAGAAATTTTTTTTCAAACATATAACCCTCGTCTAGTAACTCAACTCAACTTTTATATTTGGTGTGTATGTAATAACTTGGAGGTCAAATCTTTGGGCAAAGATTACACTTTATTTGCCAATTGATTAAATAGAGTGTGTCAACAAGAAAATTGGACAAATAAGGATATAAGAGCTAGTAAGGAGGTAATTATTTAATAATTATATATATGAATTTTGATTATAATTTGTATCTGAAGCTCTTTAGATATAATCTTATTGCAACATGAAAGAATTTTATCACTTAGTGCAAATCTATTGCTCAGATATAATATATAATAAAATGTGAATACTTGACAAGAGATCAATTCATTTGTTACCATGATGGACATATTATTTTTCGTGGTCACTCATGGTCTGTTGCAAAGTTTTTACTTGCAACACAAATTATATCTATCGCTCTTGTATAATCACATTATATATTATTTTGGTTATAATTCTGCCTGACAGAAGATTATTTCATATATCATGACGAATGCATATATACCGACTAAGGCATGCTTGTGGTCACTCATGATCATTGTCAAGATGTTATAAGTTATTATACTAGAAAGTTATCTAAATCATACTGTCGAAACAGTACTAATAATATTTTATACTATTTACTGTATAACTTATTTAAGACAATTTGTAGATGTGACATTGAACACTTTTTTAATTTGCTATAAAAGAATCCACGTGGATTTGTTAAATGGTGTGAACAGGAGTTTGTAACAACATTAGAAAAAAAGAAACTTCATCTAAATATAAACAACAAGATTGTTGATAGAGATTTACATCATAGAGAAGTATTCAAAAAATATGTTTTCCTACAAGTATACTATTAAATATTTCAATATATGAAACGATTATGAATCTTTTAAATCCAATTTTTTTAATGAAATTTCTAATTATATATTAGAATAAGTCTTTTGAATAGATCGTAACTAATGATGAAGAGGTTGATGTGGACATTGGTAATTCATTTGCTAAGGTTATAATGTGAAATAAAATTAAAGAATTAAATTACGATTATCCAACTTTATCATTCATAGTTGGTTTAACTGAACTTCAAGAAAAGCTTCTTGAATATATCGACCTGAAATTTATGAAAAAATAGCATGTATTTCTAATAGGTATACTTTAGATCTTTCTGTAAATTTTAAACATTTATTTGAAAAATTTTATTGTGATCAAAAAAGATGGCAATATGATAATTTTGGAAACATAAATGACGACGATGATAGAAAATTGATCTTCTATGTTTTCATGCGAGATGTTTGCAAACATATGTATGTATTATATTTCAAGAATTGCATTAGAAATTCCTTTAATTTTAAATAATCTTTTATTAATTTTCATATAGATTCTCTTTATGGGATAAAGATATTAAAAAAACACATTATTTAGAAAGCACATGGAATCGATCGGTTTTAAATTCTATACTAAATAGCATTACACATAAATTGGATAAAAACAGTTTTCGTAAATAGTAAATATTATTTAATTTAGACAATTATTATTCATCGTCAGTGCGATACATTGCTACTAGGGTTGGGGGCACAGGTAAAAAAATAGGCATGCCTTAGTAGACATGCTCTACAAAATCATATGATGTAAAATTAATCAATCAAAATCAGTTAAAATTATAGCTTAAAAAATTAAAATTTTCACATAATTTACTATAAAATATTAATTGAAGATCTAACATCAAAGATTCACAAAAAAAAATGCACACATATATATATATTAAAGTTCTACTAAGCATTTAAAATACTTATTTCAATATTCGATTAGTAAAGAGCTTCAAATATTCGGGCAATATCATAGATTTAGTTAATTGCCAAGCATGATATATATTAGATAAATAGTGACTATTTTGAGTTTGAAGAACCAACATGTGGTTGTTTTTATCTGATTGACCAATCAAAATTCATAATTTGTGAACATACACACAAAACTATCACTATGTCTCTACCCATAATGTTCTTCGAACAATTAAGAATTAACAAAATGCAAATAGTGATAAACATTTTAAAAGTTTTATGAATTATATATCAGATTCTTAGTTTAAAATTTTAATCGTATTCTATAGACGTTTATGCACAAATTTTAAAATCTTCTAACTGTATTTAAGATCTTGTATAGTAATTATTAACTATAAAAGTAATTATCTAGAATATATATTTAATATAGAATGATTATATATAAAAATAAAAAATAAACATAATTGCTATTGTAG